CCAGCGGCAACAATCTATGGAGGAAAACTTATTTTACTAACTATGATATCAGAATGCAAGATAACACAGTATAGTACAATCTAATTGAAATTGAGACTAATAAATAAGATAGAAGAGAGAGAGTTCCTGAGACCGAGTCAAACCTGAAAAGCTTGGAACGGCTAGGAAAGCACCCTCCAGCACCCACTGCCAGGCAGTAAGAGACCGCCCCACCCGGAAGGGTCAGATCCCGTGACTTCCATAATAGATAGGGATAGGTACCTGGAATTGGAGCATTAACACTTTAACTCTAAATGCACTACATGATGTTTTGATGTGGAATACTGAAAACCAAAAACATAAAACCATGACAGGAGCACACTGACAATCCTGGCTGAACTGTCCTACCACATCCACTGTATAGTTTTGATTTGTCACCTTCTGTCTTCTACCTATTCAGTCCAATGAAAGATGACTTGCATGGGCATTTCCCAGGTAATGCCATCATAGCTGCTATGAAAGAGTGGGTCACCTACACTGGTGTAGATTTTTATGAGTGTGGCATGCAGATTCTTGTCCATCACTGGCAAAAATGCATAGTTAATGGTGAGGACTATATTAGAAAAGAGTACTTTGTAGCTGAGAATTATGCTCTTTCTATCTGTTGTAGTCTCCATGGAAACAAAAATGAGGCCTTACTTTCAGAATGACCTACGTACCTTTTATTTTTATTTTCTTTATACTTAAAATTGCTATTAATCAACAGTCTTTTCAACATTCTGTAGCACATTCAATCTAATGCTAGAGGCAAGAAGGAGGAGAATAGGCAACAGGTAATATGCATTCTAGAGGAAATGTTATCTGTAGAAAAGGAAGCTCTTATCAAACTAGAAGCCAAATTCCTTGTTGTATCTGCATGAGCCCTTCAGAATCTGATATGTTTACCTTCAATTTCTATTCATTTTTTCTTTAGGTAGCATAAACTATATGCTTTGCTTTGCATCATCTGCATTAGAATTTCAGTTGTTGTTCTGTTGTTCTTTGTTTTATGCCTTTAACACAGCTTTATTATTTTCTTCACTATTCAAAATGTTCTTTGTTCTGTTTTGCTATCTTCCATTTTGTTTTGTTTTGTTTTGTTTTGTTTTTTAATGTCTTCTGTTTCTACATGGGTACCAAATACAACTCAGTTTGTGTTTGGGCGTTATGTTTGGTTTCCATTCTCTCAAGTTATATTATTAATACTAGTCTGTTGTTTTTTGTTGTTGTTGTTGTTTGTTTGTTTGTCTGTTTTCTCATTAAAAGTTGAAAGGTCAACTTTTGTGTCAAAACCAAGTTTTCATAAATACACTTTCTATGGCACATACAAGATCTCCACTGTGTTCTGTGGTGGTTCATCTTCAGCCTTGGTACTTACATCTCAGCCTCGTCATCTCATGTCTTCATCTCATATTCATCTTCATGACTATCTCATACTCCATTTTCAGCCTCTGGTACCCATTGCTTTTAGGATTTTCAAAATCTGTAAAGTCAGTCCATGTCACTTCACTTCTGTCACTTTTTTATTAATGGAATTTACAGTAACAAAAAGGAGTAATTAGTGCTATTACTTATGGCATCCACAATGTCACTGCTTTTGGCAAGTTTAACAGCTTAAATATAAATTTTGAAAAGATTGCATAGTGTTCAGAGAATTTAGTCACATATTTTAGCCCGCCAGTAAGGAAGTATTTCGAATAGTTTCATTAAAATTCTATATTAATCAACTCTTTACATCCCCCGTAAATACCTATATAAGTTCCTATAATCCTAAGCAGCATACAGTTACCCTTTTTTACTACAGACAACATAACCATCTATATAGTGAACACTCAGGAAAAAAAAAAAAAAAAAAAAAAACACAGGCAGCTTTGATGAACAAGCCTGTTAAAGGCATTCCTGGAGAAACATGACTTACTTAAGCACAGTACATCAATAATTTTAAATTAAGCAGTCTCTCAGGTCTTAAGTGTTCTGATAGTCAAAAATTACATGCTTGGCAAAAGACACTTTACTTCTAGTTCAAACAAGACAAAACTACTA